CCCGAAACGTCAGCCTCTCTGCTCCTATGATGCTGCTTGGCCTGCTGATTCCTAGAAACTCTGGGTTACCTCACCCTCAAAAATGTGCTGAAAAATAATAATCAGAGTATAAATTTTGCTCACCCTGCACAGGACAGGAAAAGTCAACAGCGAGCCAAGCCGACACAGCTTATTCATTAACCCATCGAAAATCTAGCTCTGGAAAAGTTCATTTAAATACCAGAATATTTCAAAATTCCAGTATATTGAGGTGGGGTATTTGGGTATAACATACTATTACAAAAACTTGTTTTTCTTAAATCAAATGCCCCCAACATAACATTCATTACCAGCTCCTCAATTCAGTTCCAGTGTCAAGTAAGCGCCTTACACTGAGAAAGTGATCTCTTTTCATCTAGCTTGGAAATGCCTCTGTCATTACTTCAGTTAGTAGTTATAGAGTATTACCAGCGCTTTACATCATATACATTAATACATTAATGCTCCATGCCAGTTCACACTTATTAATAAAACACGTGTTTAGTTGGACAATAAATCTTCAATGAAGGCCAAATTCCATTTCAGATTGGAGTGACAGCATAACCTCCCCCACTTAAATTACATTTTATTTAATGAAAAAAAGCAAATGCAAGAAATTTATTTCTGAGCTGTTTAAAAATTATCCCTGAAATAACTCCACACAGGCAGGTATCCCATCACCAAGTCACCGTTTATTTACACGTGGAGAGTCCTTGACATTGATCCAACACATCAAGGGGCAATGGTTAGGTTGTGTCTTATTGAAGATTGTCATTGCGTGGCATTTGTGTGGCACAAATGTTACTTCCCACTTTTCAGCCTAAGCCTGGATAATGTCCAAGTCTTGCCATATTTGAGCATGGGTTACATCAGTATCTGAGGAGTTTCAGATGTGGCTGAACATTGTGCAATCATCTGCACTTCTGACGGAGGGAAGGTTGTTGATCAAACAGCTGAAGATGGTTGGACGTAGGGCACTATCCTCTTGCAAAGATGTTCTGGAGTGAGATGACTGACCAACAATAACAACCATCTTCCTCTGTGCCCAGTGTGACTCCAATCAGAGGAGGGTTTCCCCCAATTCCCAAAGACAGATTTGTGAAGAGTCTTTGATGCCATAGTCAAATGCCATCTTGGTGTCAAGGGCAATCACTCTTAGCTAAATTCAAGAATTTATTCTTTTGTCCATGTTTGAACCCACCTTGTAATGAGGTTAGGAACTGAGTGGCCCTGGCAGAACCCAAACTAGAAATTAATGAGCAGATTATTGCTGAACAGGTGCTGTTGATGACATCTTCCATCACTTTACTGATTATCAAGAGTAGACCGATGGATGGTAATTGGCTATTTGTCCTCCTTTTGTGTGTAGGACATACCTATGCAATTTTCCAAATGGTCAGATAGATGCCAGTGTTGTAGCTGTACTGGAATAACTTAACTAGGGGTGCAGCAAGTTCTGGAGCACTGGTCTTCTGTACTATTGCCAGAGTCCATAGCCTTTGCAGTATTCAGTGACTCCAACTGTTCTTTGATATAATGTGGAGTGAATTGAATTGACTGAAAACTGGTATTTGTGATTCCAGGGACCGCTGGAGGACGCCAAGATGGATCACCTAATTTGCAGTTTTAGCTGAAGATTGTTATGAATGCTTCAATACTCTTTTGCACTGACGCATTGCGCTCGCCTAACATGGAGAATTTTTTAAAATTAATTCATGGGATTAGAGCGGCACTGGCTAGACCAGCATTTATTGTCCATCCCTAATTACCCAGAGGACAGGTGAGAGTCAACCACCTTGCTGTGGGTCTGGAGTCACATGTAGACCAAACCAGGTAAGAATAGCAGTTTCCTTCCCTAAAGGACATTAGTGAACCAGATGGGTTTTTACAACAATTAGCAATGGATGCATGATCATCATCATCATCATCATCATCAGACTCTTAATTCCAAATTTTTTTTAAAAATTGAATTCAAATTCAAATTCCACCATCTGTTGTGACAGGATTTGAACCCACATCCCCAGAACATTACCTGGGTCTCTGGATTAACAACAACCGAAAGAACTGTGGATGCTGTAAATCAGGAACAAAAACAAAGTTGCTGGAAATGCCCAGCAGGTCTGGCAGCATCTGTGAAGGAAAAAACAGAGTTAATGTTTCAGGTCCAGTGAACCTTCCTCAGAACTGATCAGTTTTGAGGAAAGGTCACTGGACCCGAAATGTTAACTCTGTTTTTTCCTTCACAGATGCTGCCAGACTTGCTGGGCTTTTCTGGCAACTTTGCTTTTGTCTCTGGATTAACAGTCCAGTGATAATACCGCTAGGCCATTGCCTCACCTAATGGGGATATTTGTGGAGCTGCCTCCTCAGTGAGTTGTTCAATTGTGCACCATCATTCACGACTGATTGTGGCAGGACTGCAGAATTTAGATCTGATCTGTTGGTTGTGGAATCATGTAGCCCTGTCTATCACTTGCTGCTTATGCTGTTTGGCATGCAAATAACCCTGTTTCACATCTTCGCCAGGTTGATTCCTCATTTGAGGTATGCCTGATGCTGTTCCTGGCACACCCTTCTGCACTTTTCATTGTATGAAAGTTGATCTCATGGTTTGATGGTAATGGTAGAATAGGGGTGGTATGCTGGGCCATGAGGTTGCAAACTGTTTTGGGGTATGATTCTGCTAATACTGATGGCCAACGGTGCTTCATGGTTGCCCAGTTTTGAGGTGCTAGATCTGTTTGAAGTTTGTCTCATTTAGCACAGTGATAGTGTCACTCAACAGGATAAAAGATACCTTCAGTACAAACTTAGACTTCATCCCCACAAAGTCTGTGCCGTGGTCACTCTTAGCAATACTGTCATGATAGATACATCTGCAGCAGGCAGATTGATGAGGATGGAGTCAACTATGTTTTCCTCTCTTGTTGGTTCCCAGTCTAGCAGCTATGCCCTTTAGGACCCAACCAGCTCACTCAGTAGTGCTGTTGGTTAGCCACTCCTGGTGACAGACATTGAAATACCCCACCAAGATTACATTCTACACCCATACCACCCTCAATGCCTCCTCCAAGCATTGTTCAATATGGGGGCACACAATTCGTCAGCTGAGGGAGGATGGTACATGGTAATCAGCAGGAGGTTTCTTTGCCCATGTTTGATCTGGTGCAAAGAGACTTTATGGTGTCCAGAGTCCCTCCTGACTGTATACCACTGCACCATCACCTCTGCTGGGCTTGTCCTACCAGTGTGACAGGTCATATGCAGGGATGGTGACGGTGATGTCTGGGACGTTAGGCATGATTCTGTCAGAATGACTATCTCAGGTTGTTGCTTGTCAAGCCTGTGAGCCAACTCTCCGAATTTTGCTATTAGTCCCCAAATGTTAGTAAGGGGGAACTTACAGATGATGCCAAACCTGCTGAGTTTCTCCTGCACTTTCTGCTTTTATTTTTACCTGCTCTATTAAGAACCATCCCCGCACCCCCCCATGATTTTTAACCTCAATCATAATACCTCTCAATCTCCCTGCACTAAAGAGAGCAGCCCCAGATTCACCAAGTGGGTGAAGTCAGGGTAAGTCTGTATGTGTACATGTCTCAAATGTACATGTCTGTCTGAGTAGCTTTTTCCCTTGGCCCTAACATTCACCATTTTTCTCAGTCTTCAGTCATAGGATAAAGACAGTCTGGACAACGTCTGCCATCCTAATCTTATTCATAACTTCCTCTTAAATGAACTTCCCCTATTATCAACACTCACACCTCACCCTTCCTGAGATAAACCTCTGCCTTCCTTGAGATCAACCCTAGCTTCCCTCAATCCCTTAGTCTTTCCCCTTCAGGTTCCCTCAGCCTTTCCAGAGTCGGTTCCCTTTTGTCTGACTGTTTTATGTGACCACACAGCACTGTGTTTCACAATGAGGTCTTTAATTAAGTTCTGATGTCTTCCTACAGCGTACTCCAATAGAGGCAACATATCCACAGCAGACTACAAAGCCCATTTAAACAGTATTACACGTCAATCTAAACACTTCCCCCAGCCCTCCCCACTCTTCAGATATTCAGCCTTCGAACTGCCTTCGCTCAACATCCCTCCTCTTGAGAGCTTCCCTTTTTTCATCTACCTCAGCCTCCATCCCCTCACACGCCCTCAACCCTGAATCTTTTGGCCCTCCATTGCCACGCATAAACTGTCTCCCTCCAAGTCATACGCCCCTCAGATTCCACCTCTTCTTAATCTCTTACCCTCCGTCGGCCACTCACTCTATGATCAATATTCACAAATATGTTGATTTACCGATCTATTGACTTATTTACTGCCACGCGTAGCTTACTAAAAATACCCAGCGAAAAGCGTCGTATTGTATCACCACTCGCCGGCGCCATCTTAAAACAGGAAAATAAACCAAGACATTGAATATAAAGGCAAAAAAGTGAAAATGTAAAGAGAAATGTTAACTTTTTTTTTAAATCAACAACTTGGATACTGTGTATTTCTATAAATATGTCCTTCCTTGTTCTCAATTTTACTTTTTATAATAGCATTTTTAAAATTAATTATTTTTCAACGTTCTCTCGCGGCGAATCCCGCCCGCCGCGACGCGCCTGCGCCCTCCCGTGGTTGGGGTGATAACTGCAGCATCCCTTTGGTACGAGGAATCGCCGCCAGCTCGTTGTTGCTTGACCTGCGAAGTATTTCCAGCATTTGCTGTTCGGATCACAGGGGATGTTTCACCGATCTGCGTTGTGCAAAGCCACCATTACCCCGAGGTCAGTTGTAATGTTGCTATCTTATTGCTCGTGTTTCACTAAATCTACCTAGCTACATAGATTCAATTACTTGTTTCAAAAACGGAAATTGCCAGAAAATCTTGCAGCATCTGTAGAGAGAAATCAGAGCGCCGGTTCCAAGGACTCTTCTTCAGAACTGCAATTAATTGTTTGTTCGTTTGCTTTTCGCAGCGTTAATTATTACGGTGTTGACAGTCGAGACGGTAGTTGCACGCTCGCCTGAATCAAAACATTGAGGTTTCAGTTCCGACTCCAATGAGTTGAGCCTGTGATCCGAGTTGACACTCGAAAACGTTGATGTGAGAATGCTACGTTTCGATTTCCAATGCGATAACCGGCCCAAATTTTCCCACCCTGTTAGGATTCGAATTTATGCATTTATCTTTAGATGTTATCTGCGATGGAGATTCCTGTTCAAAGGCTTCCTGCTCCAAACCCATCCAGGAATCCGCAAATCTAGCAGCAAAGAGAATCCGTATGGCAACCATGCTTCCTTTTGCAGTAGTCAATGTGCCATATTTTGTGATTTAAATTCCAGCAGCATTGTCATGTACTTTGACAGTTCCTGTGAAAGTCATGTTTAACCTAAGTATGGGGTTAGGGTGCAAGGTGGGTAAAGGAAGTGTTGTGCCAATGAGTAGGGTGCCAGATGGGTAAAGTCAGTACCATGCCAGGTGCTAGATGAGTGAACAAGTACTTAGGGTCAGTCAAGGGTGTTGGGTCCAGCAAGGCAGGATTGGGGATGGAGGGGTGGTGTCAGGTCCAGCACATAGAAGAGAGGAGTGTTTGGATCAGAGTAATCAAACTGCAGGGATGGTTGCCACTGGGGAAGGTCAGGTTGGCAAGATGGAGAGTTGGTTCAGCTAGGGCGATTTTCAAGTCTGATCGTGGGGGATAATGACAGATCAGGATTCAGGAGGGAGTACTGCTCCAACAAATGCAAGAGGGTGTTGATTCTGGCAGAGTAGGGCGATATTGGGTCCAGCCAGGAGGCTCTGGTTGGTAGGGGTTGGGTCAAGGAAAGGAAACTGATTGGGTCAGGGGTGGTGTCTGACTTTAATGGATTATTTTGCAGGATTCTAGACATATAAGAATTGCCCATCAGTAAGTTCAGTTTTCTGGGCAGTTCCATTGGAGTCAACTGCATTGATAACTCGGCATAACCCCTATGCACAATTCCAGTCTGTGCTTCATCATAATGGCCTAGATAGACTGATGGCCAGGGAATCTTTGGAGAAGTACAACACTCAAGAAGCTTGGCACCATCCAGGACCAAGCAGCCCACTTGATTGGCATCACTTCCACAAACATTCAGACACCCTTCGACCATTACTCAGTAGCAGCAGTGTCCAAACTACAAGATATACTACAGAAATTCACCAACATTTCTTTCAAACTCATGTCCACTACCATCTTGAAGAACAAGGGCAGCAGATACATGGGAGATACATCACCATCTGCATGTTTCCCTCCAAACCACTCAGCATCCAGACTTGGAAATATATTGCCATTCCTTCAGTGTTGCTCGGTCAAAATACAGAAATTCCCTTCCTAACCACATTATGGGTGTACCAACTGGACTGCAGCAGTTCAAGAAGGCAGTTCACTATCGCCTTCTGTAGGGCAAGTAGGGATGGTCAATAGATGCTAATTCAGCCAGGAAAGCTGACATCACATGAATGTAGGAGATCAAATGGTATATTGGCTTTCATTACATGAGGATTTAAGTTCAGTTATACAGGACCTTACTGCAGCTATACAGGTGAGATCACACCAGGAATATTGAGTGCAGTTTTGAATGCCCTACCTAATCTTGCCATACAGAGAGTGCAGGTTGACTAGGCTGAAACCAGTGTTTCAAGACTGCCCAATGAAGACAGTTTGGATGACTGGGCCTGTATTCGCTCGTGTATAGAAGGATATGGGTGGATAAGATTGAAACATTTAAAATTCTGACAGGACTGGAGAGGTTAGATGCAGGGAGGAGGTTCCCCTGGTTGGGAGTCTAGAAACAGAGATCACAGTTTCACAAGACAAGGATACAGGATTTAGGACTGAGAAGAGGAAAAATAATCTTCATTCAAAGGGTAGTGAACGTGTGGAATTCTGTACCACCGAAGGTGTGGATGCCAAGCCACTGAAAATATTCAAGAAAGAGAGGATTTTTTTTTAGCTTTTAAAGACATCAAGGGTAAAAAGTGGGAATATGGCATTGAGATAAAGGATCAGCTATGATCATATTGACTGGCAGAGCAGGCTTGAAGTTTTTGTTTCTATATTAAAAAAAGGACAATCAAGGCAGTGATTTAATCCTTATCTGAGAGAATGCAGCTTCCTGTCAGTACCGCACTGGAGTGTCGGCCTTGTTTTACATATGAATTAGGAGCAAGAGTAGGCTATTCAGCCCCTTAAGTCTGCTCCACCATTCAATAAGATTATTATCTCAAATACACATTCCTGCCTACCCTTGTTAATCTTTCACCCCTTGCTTAACAAGAATTTACTTCTGCTATAAAAATATTCAAGGACTCTCCTTCCACTCATTTCAGGAAGATGCATGACCCTCAGAGAAATGAACAGTCTTTGATTTTTAAGCAGTGACCTCAAATGTCCAAGTCTCCCAGGAGGGGAAACAACCGCTCCACATCAACCCTGTCAAGGCTTTCAAGATCTTAAATAAAACGAAGAACTGTGGATGCTGGAGATCTGAAATAAAAATAAAAACAGAAATTGCTGGCGAAACTCAACAGGTCAGGCAGCATCTGTGGGAAGAAATCCGAGTCAATGTTTCAAGACTGCTGACTGTTCATCCAGAACTCTTTATTCCTATAATGTGGTGACCAAAACTACATGCAGTATTCCAGTTGTGGTCTAACCAGCATTTTAGACACTTTCAGCATAACCTTCTTCATCTTAAGGTATTCTGTGCCTCAGCTAATAAAGGCAAGCATCCCACATGTCTCTAACCAACTGGACCATCTCTAATATCTCTCTCTTCTTCCTGGACCTCTCTGTCTCCATTTCTGGCAACCACCTAGAAACTGATATCCATTTCAAGCCCACCAACTCCCACAGCTACCTAGAATACACCTCCTCCCACCCACCTTCCTGCAAAAATGCCATCCCCAATTCCCAATTCCTTCGCCTCCGCCGCATCGGCTCCCAGGATGATGCATTCCACTCCCGTACATCTCAGATGTCCTCGTTTTTCAAGGACCGCAACTTCCCCCTCTCAGTGGTCCAGAATGCCCTCGACCGTGTCTCCCACATTTCTTGCAACTCATCCTTCACACCCCCTCCCCGCAATAAGAATCAAAAAAGAATCCCCCTCATCCTCACATACCACCGCACCAACCTCCGGATCCAACACATCATCCTCCGACACTTCCGTCATCTGCAATCCGACCCCACCACCAAAGACATTTTTCCCTCCCCACCCTTATCTGCTTTCCGGAGGGACCACTCTCTCCGTGACTCCCAAGTCTGCTCCACACTCCCCTCCAGCCCCACCATACCCGGCACTTTTCCCTGCAACCGCAGGAAGTGCTACATCTACCCCCACACCTCCTCTCTCACCCCCATCCCAGGCCCCAAGAAGACTTTCCACATCAAGCAGATGTTCACCTGCACATCTGCTAATGTGGTATATTGCATCCGCTGTTCCGTTGTGGCCTCCTCTACATTGGGGAAACCAAGCGGAGGCTCGGTGACCGCTTTGCAGAACACCTACGCTCGGTTCGCACTAAACAACTGCACATCCCAGTCGCAAACCATTTCAACTCCCCCTCCCATTCCTCAAACGACATGTCCATCCTGGGCCTCCTGCAGTGCCACAATGATGCCACCCAAAGGTTGCAGGAACAGCAACTCATATTCCGCTTGGGAACCTTGAAGCCCGATGGTATCAATGTGGATTTCACAAGCTTCAAAATCTCCCCTCCCCCTACCGCATCCCAAAACCAGTCCAGCTCATCCCCGCCTGCCTAACCTATCCTTCCTCCTACATATCCCCTCCTCCCACCTCAAGCCCCACCCCCATCTCCTACCTACTAACCTCATCCCGCCCCCTTGACCTGTCCGTCTTCCCTGACTGACCTATCTCCTCCCTACCTCCTGACCTACATTCACCTTTACTGGCTCCATCCCCACCTCTTTGACCTATCTGTCTCCTCTCCACCTATCTTCTCCTCTATCTATCTTCTTTCCGCCTCCCCCTCTCTCCCTATTTATTTCAGAACCCCCTTCCCCTCCCCCATTTCTGAAGAAGGGTCCAGGCCTGAAACATCAGCTTTCTGCTCCTATGATGCTGCTTGGCCTGCTGTGTTCATCCAGCTCTACACCTTGTTATCTCTACCTGTCCTGCTGCCTTGAGGAATCTGTGGATATGCATACCAAACTCTCTCCTGATCTTCAGGACTTTCCAGGGTTCTACCATTCATCTTTATCCCTTGCCTTGTTACCTGTCCCTAAGTGCATTACCTCACTTTTCTGGTTGAATTATATTTGCTATTGCTCTTCTCAGCTGACCAGTTCATTGATATCCTCCTACAGTTTACAGATGTCCTTCTGATTATTTACCACCCTGCCAATTTTTGTGTCATCCACAAACTTTTTAATCAATCACCCCTACATTTAAGTCCAAATCATTAACAGACACCACAAACAACAAAGGAGCCAGCACCTGTGTCCAATATACCACTTTGTCTTGAATCCAAGTCTCATACTTTTTTGACCAGTCTTTCATGAGAAAAACTTTATAAAAAGCCTGAATAAATTCCATGTTGACCACATCAAGTACATTACCTTCATCAATACTCCGAGTTCCTTAAAAAATTAAACCAAATTTGTCAAACATGACCTTCCCCTTACAAGTTCATGCTTACTCTCCCCGATTAATCCATTTCTCTCCAAGGACAGTTATGGCTTGTTCCTCAAAATTCTTTCTCATAACTTCCTCACCAGTAAGGTTAGAACATGACCTATAATTTCCTGGTTTATCCCTTCCACTCTTTTTTTAAAACTGGGATAATGTTAGCAGTGCTCCAGTCATAGATTCATACAGCATGGAAACAGACTCTTTAGTCCAAACAGTCCATGCCGAACTTAATCCCAAACTAAAACAGTCCTACCTGCCTGCTCCTGGCCCATATCCCTTCAAACCTTTCCTATCTATGTACCTATTCAAATGCTTTTTAAAGTCATAATTGTACCCACATCCACCACTTCCTCTTGAAATTCATTCCACATGTGAACCATCCTCAGTGTAAAAATCACCTCTCATGTCCTTTTTAAATCTCTCTCACCTTAAAAATATCACCCCCCTAGTCTTGAAATCCCCCATCCTAGGAAAATGACAACTACTATTAACTCTATCTATACCTCTCACCATTTCATAAACTTCTTTCAGGTCACCTCTCAACCTCCTACGCTCCAGTAGAAAAAATCCCAGCCTTTTTTTATAACTCAAACCTTCCATACCTGGCAATATCCTGGTAAATCTCTTCTGAACTCTCTCCAGCCCTTTCTATAACTGGGTGACCAGAACTGAACACAGTATTCCAGAAGAGGACTCATCAATGTCCAGTACAACCTCAACATGACTTCCCAATTCCTACACTCAGAGGACTAAGCAATGAAGGTAAGCATGCCAAACGCCTTTCTAACCACCCTGTGTATATGTGATGCAAACTTCAAAGAATTATGTACTGGTACCCATAGGTCCCTCTTCTACAATGCTACCCAGGGCCCTACCATTAACTATATAAGCCCTACCCTTGTTTGATGTACCGAAATGTAATACCTCGCATTTATCCAGATTAAATTCCATCTGCCATTTTTCAGCCTATTGACCCATTTGATCAAGATCCCTTTGTAATCTTAGAAAGCCTACTTCACCGTCTACCAATTTTAGTGTCATCCACAATCTTACCAACCATATGTTTTATGTTCTCATCAAATCATTTATATAAATGACAAACAAAGGAGGACCCAGAACAGATTGTTATGGAACACCGCGGGTGACAGGTCTTCAGTCTGAAAAGCAACCCTCCATCACTACTGTCTCTCTAGCCATTAAACTAATTATGTATCCAGTTGGCATGCTCACCCTAAATCCTGTGTGACCTAATTTTACTAATTAGTCCACCATGCGGAACATTGTCAAAGGCTTTACTAAAATCCAAATAAACAATGCCTATTGCTCTGCCATCATCAATCTTTTTGATAACTTCCTCAAAAAACTCAATCAAGTTTGTGAGACACAATTTTCCTCACACAAAACCATGCTGACTATCCCTAATCATTTTTTGCCCCTCTAACTGTCCATAAACCCTAATTTTTTAAATCACCTCCAACAGTTTACCCATAACCAAAATCAGACTTACAGGAATATAGTTCCCCAGTTTCTCCTTACAACCTTTCTTAAACAAAGGTACAACATTAGCCACCCTCCAGTCATCAGGCACTTCACCCATAGTTATAGATGATGCAAGTATTTCTACAAGGGGTCTCGCAAATTCCTCCTTTACCTCCCACAACGTTCTGGGATACATTAGGTCAGGTCCTGGAGATTTATCCACCTTTATATTCTCTAGGACCTCCTGAATTTCCTCTTCTGTAATGTGAACTGTTTTTAAAACATCAAAGTTTATTTTGCTGCATTCCCTAGACTCCATTTCTGTTTCCACAGTAAAAACTGATGCAAAATATTCATTTAGTATCTTTCCCATCTCCTGCAGTTCAACACAAAAATGATCACTTTGATCTTTAACAGGTCCTACCCTCTCTCTAGTTACCCTCTTGCTCTTAATGTATTTGTAGAATCTGTTTGGATTATCCTTAACCTTACCTGCCAATGCTTCCTCATATCCTCTCTTTGCCTTCCTGATTTCTTTCTTAAGAATGCCGCTACACTCTTTATATTGATTAAGAGATTCAATTGAACCAAGTTGTCTATGTCGAATAAAAGAGAATCTTATTTTATTGACTAGAACTTCAATATCTTTATTCATCCATTGTTCCTTAATCTTATCCTTGTTACCCTTCACTCTAACAGGAATGGAATGCCTCTGAACTCTCATCATCACACTCTTGAATGCCTCCTACTTGTCAGACATCCTTTTACCTGTGAACACTCTATTCCAATCAACAACAACAAAAACAAAGTTGCTGGAAAAGCTCAGCAGGTTTGGCAACATCTGTGAAGAAAAAAACAGAGTTAACATTTCGGGTCCAGTGACCCTTCCTCAGAACTTATTCCAATCAACTTTGAAAGTTCTTGTCTGATACTTTTAAAATTTGCCTTACTCCAATTAAAGTCTTCAACTTTTATGGAAAGCTCATCCTATTCCATAACCATTTTGAAACTAATAGAATTATGATTGCTAGACCCAAAGTGTTCCCCCACTCTTACTTCAATCACCTGCACTGCCTTATTGCCCCAAAGAAGGTCTAGTTTTACTCCTCTAGTAGGACCATCCACATATTGACAAAGAAATTTTTCTTGAATGCATTTAACAAATTCTTAATTATTCAAACCTTTAACACTATGGTATCCCCAGTCAGTGTTTGGAAAATTAATATCCCCCAGTATTACAATCTATAATGCTTACACATACCTGAGATCTCCCTACATATTTGTTTCTCAATTTCCCTCTTACTATTAGGGATGTGTGGTGGTGGCAAAGTTGCGGGAGGGTACTTTGAAAATTCAGCAATGACTGTTTTAAAGGACCACTGCCTGGTTGCAGTTCCAGCCAGCATCCAGGAATTTTGACCTTGCTTCTCTTTGATGCTCTCATACACTCACACCATGCTACTGAGATTCCATAACCTCTCTTCCAATGTGATTTCCTGGAATATGACCAGCCAGAGTTGGTAGTCATACAATGGAATTGTCTTGTGAGGAAAGATTGAGCATACACTCATTGGACTTTAGAAAAAATAGAAAGTAATCTTATTGAAGATTCTGAGGAGACTTGACAGTGTAGATACTGAG